CCCCGCGGGCTGCAGTCTCCCAGCGCGTTTGGGAGCCGTTCCCTCTGGCGGGGCACGGCAAGCGAGGGCACCACAGGGAGATGAGCTGCGGCTCATTTTGGCTCCGTTTTGTAATGCCAGCGTGTTTGCGGGCTGGCCCGATGGTCCGGCCGCCCTCACCTGCGGTTCTGTGCCTTGCTGGCTCACGCGCCCGGTGGTACGGCATCGGTGAGCCCCAACGGAGGGCTGCGCTTGAGCCGGGGGGGGTGAGTCCCACGGCTGTGGTCTGGTGCCACGGGACCCCCCCAGCCCAGGTGCCCGAGTGTGTGGGGGTCTCTTCCTCCGCTTTGGGAGGGTGGTGGCCCATCTCTGGGGCTGTTTGCCCCAGGGGGCTGATGCCCACCGTGCCATTCCACGTGGCCTCACGCATCCTCTCCGGGCCACAGCCACGTCAGGTCCCCAGTGTCCCCCTGCCTGCGGGGGCGCCGGTGGCCGGGCTCGGCCTGCAAGGGCACAGGAAGGCGAACATCTTTAAGGGGAGACCGTACCAAAGCAGCCTCGTGACGCAGAACCTTTGCTGTCTTTTCTCCTCGTAGTTGGACCCAAAGGCAGCAAATCCATCCGCCAGAAACTGGAGAGCTTTTCAAAGGAGAAGAAAGGTGAGCGGCCTCGCTTTTACCCGCGTCTGCTCCCTGCTCCGGCAGGGCATCACTGGCTTTTGGTGGGGCTGAGCTGGGAGGTGCCCCTGCTGCTTGCTGCTCCCCAGGGCGGGTGCGCCGGCACGTGCCCAAGCCTGGGAGGGATGGGAGGGATGCGTACGTGTGCGTGGATGGAGTGCACGTGCACGTGGCCGTGCGTTTGTGAAGGTGTGCACATGTGAATATTTCCACCTGCACATACGAATATTTCTACGCGCCCCTCTCATCCCCGATCTCGTGGCTCCGAATTCTGCTTCATCGTCCCTTGGAGGCCGTCAGCCACAAACCCTGGGAAAGCAGGAGCGTCGAGCACAGCCAGCTGGCAGCGAGCACTGCCTAATTTTCTTCATGCCACGTACAAGTTCCACCCAAGCAAACGATGGAGCCGCAGCCTGGTATTTCACAAAATGGGTTTGTGCCTTGGGCCCCGGCTGCCAAAGCCCTGAGGCCAGGGCGGTGCGGAGGCTGGGAGCAAGGCGAGCTCTCCTTGCCCCCCAAGGAGCTACGGAGGGGGGAGATGCCATGAGTATCCAGACTGTTACCCTCGAACAGACATAGCTGACACAAACCCTGTAGAAGGTTATAATTCAGAGGTTATAATTGGGTAAGAATCTTTTGAATAGGCTATTTCTGTGATTTATGAAGCCTCCCCCTCACAGCCACTGTGGCACCTTCTCAAGGCTGCAACCAATACAAGGAAGGAAGGTTCAGGGAAACTGGGACAGGCTGCGGCACGTGTGTTGACGGAGACCAGTTTTCCTGCCGTCTTCCCAGCTCCCCTTGCATCTCCATCCTCTTCCTCCAGCACGCCAGCTCCCATGCCGTGCCCTCCGCTTGGCTTCCTGCCCCCCCTGCACCCCGAGTCCCACCACGCAACGCCCCGGGGCTTTCTGGGGGCAGCAGCTCCCCTGTGGGCTTGCCCGGGGTGATTGGGATGCTCTTCCCCACACCCCAGGCACTCCTGGCCCCCGGGGAGCTGGAGGAGGAGCAGGGAGCGGGAGGGGACAGGACGCTGATAGTTCCAGGACTGCCATCCCAGATCCAAGCTACAGATCTCCTCATTGGTGGTTTTACACCTTGTCCTCTTCACCCTCCTGGTTGTCTTTACGGCGCCCTGCTATCCCCCCGTTGGCGAGTGATTTCACCCAGGCGTGCCCCCGGCAGCCGGGCTGTGCTAGCGCAGCTCCCTCTTGATTTCCCTCCTGGCGATACTTTCCCCTTTCTCCTGGGTTTTTCCGTAGACTGCTCCCCTCAGACATTTGGGATCCCGCTCTTC